GAATAAAATGAGTGATAAGGCCTTTATTATGCTCAAAAATTGCTCAAATTTCCTGCGTAGCTAACCATCTGTCATTCTTTTGGAACAAGAAAAGAGAGACTATTTTTAGATCTATGTGCTCTTCTTTACTAACGGAATAAAAGAGACGGTAAACATACTCGAGTTGTTTCAAGCGGACATTCACCTGGCACCGATCACTACTGTCGGCAGTCGAAACTTTGTGATTTCGATGAGAGCAATGAGCAGCTTCTGGTTTTCTTTAGGTAAAAAGCAAGAAAACGGAAATACAACCTGTGTTATGTCAATTGTGGCTCTTTTTTCAGTTCTTTTGGGATAGTTCTTTCGACTTGGAGAAATCATGAGAATTTGGGAAAAAATGAGCACGGTGCTGATGGGAGAGGTGATTGTGATAGCACTAGTCATGTGGATTCCCCAAGTGCCTCACTTCTTCAACATGCTTAATGACCTTTATAGAAATTGCGTTCATATAATAAACGAATTGTTGAGGGAACTTCAGAATGATTGATAGAAATGATAAAACTGATTACTTGACTTTGTGGGATTAAAAAGCACAAAAAATGAATTCATTACGTAACACCACGAAACGACAATAGAATTGGTTTCATAGATAGAGACATACGCTTTTTGCTCAATATACCTGAAAGCCATTACCATATAATGTGAGAAAATTGAAGAGAGCTAATCCTAATATTGCACAAATACAGTAAATTCTTGGGTAACTTGGGCAAAATTAAAGTCTTGACATGGCCTGGCCACAAAACTATCCAACAAAATTATTGAGCTCTGAACTGACTTACTTACAAGGACCCAATTGGTCATCGTGACATTGTTTCATTGTGACAAAAAGTGCGTCGCTTCTTCCAGCTTGGATTGTGTCTTCAGCTAATGAAGATCCTCAGTGCAAATCTGGTTTTTCGATGCGTTTGATTTCATTTCGGTTTTCGAGTTCAATTTCAAACTTCCAATACAAGCGTTTCCTATTAAAAGTCAATGTACGCGCTAGCACTTTAAAACACAACTATTCAGCAGTTTCCTCATAAACTTTAAGCAAAGCAGCCTTGGCACTAAGCAGATTTTTTAACACAAATCTTTGCAGAAAAAAATTCTTTCTGCACTTTTACAAGTTTGTTTTGTTGGCAAAAGAATCCTGGATATTCTTCTAAGACACCAACCGAATATTATGTAAGTATTATTAATTTTTTTAGGAGCCGGGAGTCGAATTCAGGTCTTGTCTCAATTTGAGTTTTTGAGCTGATTGGGTAATTGAACTGATGGCGCTGAGTGAATGCTAAGGAATACTCGATATCCAACCGAATTTGGTAACTGTAGTTCAACTCTACTGGGAATTTGATGAAACCGCAGAAAGATTACATAAACACTGATTACAATTAGATAACTAAACCAAAGTTAAATTAAACGAATGGGTGACTCAACCCATTGGGTAAATAGACCAAAGTTCAGCTCGTTAAAAGAGCCGATTTTGATTGCATTCGTTGGGTAAATTAGGCAATTGGAACAAACTGGCGAATGAACCGAATAACTGGACTAAATTTGAAGTTTCGAGGAAGTCGGTGCGCCAGAGAGTGCGCGTTGACGCACCACTCTAAAATTCACGCTGGTAGAAAACTGGCCAAAATGAAGGGCTAAAAATGAGTCTCAAAGAGGCAATCTCTTTCCCCTTAAAGAAAAACTTGTTAATATCCAAAGCTTTCTTCAGCGCAAACAGTAGATTTACTTGGTGTTTAGAAAATTTTCCGTTTTTTATTTCAGAGTACCCTACATCCGTTTGATTGATTATCAAGGGAATCCAAAAACAGAATGGCTTGATTTAGAGAAAGTGCCGAACTCGGCTTCCAATTCACTAACCAGGCTATAATCAGTAGTTGAAGATAAAGAAATGAATAAAAAAGAGAGAAAAAGCAAAAATTTTTCTTGCTTTGTATCATAATCCTTGTCTTCCTGACTTCCCAATTTCACGAGTTTTTCTTTTACTGGTCCAATTTTTTAACTCGATCGATCTTTATGCCACTTGGTTTCCTTCTTTTTCTTCATGTGATAAAGATTTTATCGAAATGGCACGTTTGAAATGTTCACAAAATCGTTCATAAAACGTCATTTCTGCCCCATTTCAGTAACAAATGCAAGTATCGGATCAACACACACAAATAACAGAAAGCCTTTAAACCAGATTTTCACCAAAAGGAGAATTGGAAAGAAACATATAATCTTCATAAACATTTTCGAACTTATTCTAAAAGCTTAAACATGGTCAATTTGTTCCAACCTAGTTACTGGTTAGTTTTAGTTTTTCCGCCATTCTCACACTTTTAAACAACCTTCTGTTTCTTTTTCGTTCTGTAGATGTTCATCTACATCCATAGTCAAATAAATTTATTATTCTCATGGATATGTCATTACTAGACGCAGAGAAAAACGGATGTTTATAAAATTCACAAATGTCCAAGCAACGATGAGAAGAAAAGAATGAGTGCCAATGAATGAAGGAAACCCGTAAATGGAAGGAAACAATAACAGGAAAACCGGTGTATTCATAAAAATGGGGGAAATATGAGAATAATTGAGTGCTGAGCTGTGTTTTTGGGAGTTGGATGTGAAAATTAGAAAATTTTCTTTGAAAATGGTGTTTTTCCTTTACAGTCCTGAGTGTCTTATAGAGACGTGAGGACGCTCGTTGTCCTGCAGCAGGTTAGGGCTTTTTCCATCAACCAACGCGGGGTTCAAAACCTACAACGTTTGAGTGCATCTCCTTGATTTGTCGTTCACTCCGAATCGATGTTTTGACCGCTTTTCAGCAACGAATAGTGTATCACTCCTTGCTTGTACCACCAAGCGACAGCATAGGACTTGTCTGGGAGTTCGGTAACTTGTCTTGGTTTTCGGTAGCTTTTTCTCAAACACATCTTTTAGTAAACACTTCAACCCAAGGGAAACACAGTCCATTTTGTTATCCATATTGTTGATTTTTGGCTATTTCTTCCGATTTTGATGTGGTTTGATCGGGTTTTCAAAGCACTTTTGTAGAAGTGAGTTAGAGATTTTAGCACAAAAAGGAATAGGAATTCGAATAAGTAGAAAGTAGACTTTTTACCCTAAACTTATGTGATTCTGTACAACATGTGCGTACCTGTGTACGCTGCAAACTTGCCGAGCGCTGACTCGGAGGAGGGCTTTAAAGCATGGCCCGACGACCTTAACCCGTAGTCCCTGTTGCAGTAACCCAATTGAAACTGCAGTGAAACTAATCTAATCCAAATCCCCTTGCGACTTTTAAGACTTGCTAAAGCAAAGTTTTCTTCCCATGGCTGTCCTTGAAAATCTCCCAAAACAAACAATTCAAATATTTCATAAATATCCTTTTCATGCAGATTTTCCTTCCATTTTTCTATCCTCAATATTTCCTTAATCACATAAAGAGCATCTTTGAATGTTTTCTTCTTTTAACCTTGCAACAATATTTGGTGCTTCTTGATAAAAATTGTCTCTGTCAGCAGAATTTAGTGTTCGGGTTTTTCTAGCATTGTTCCGGTGATATTTTCGATGCCCCAACTTCTATGTTGCTCGAATCTTTTTTCATATTTTCTTTCTTCAGATTCAACCATAACCCATTCTGTTCTGATGAATTCATTTGCCTAGGTTATTATATCGTAGAAGTATAAAATTTCAACAAAAAAGAAACTTACTCAACGATTCGGTTCGGAAGTATGAAACTTCGCAAATTTCTTTTCGCTCCTATTTACTTATTTTACCATTAAAACAACTGGAATTTTCATGGTTTGTGTGGAAGTCTGAGGACTACGAAGTATTGAATTTTGAAAATCTTTTGTGGAAAAATAGCTGAGAACGTCTAGACTGAAGTTGACTTATTTTCACATGCCCTGTAAATCCGTGTTCTATCACTAAAGTTCTTCTTTCTTTCAAAATAGACAGGGGAACCTTTAAGAGAGTTAATCTTAAAATTTCGGCCTGAAAATCATCACCAAGAAGTGCTTTTCTAATTGTTTTAAACATGAAATTTGCTGAAATTTTAAACGGATTTCTGTTTCTTTTTCTTTCTGTAGATATTCATTTACATCCATTGTCAAATAAATTCATTATTCTCATTGATATGTTTTTACTAAACGCAGAGAAAAACGGAATTTTGTAAAATTCACAAATCTACAAGTAACGATGAGAAAAGAAAGAATGAGTACCAATAAATAAAAAAAACCCGTAAATGGAAGTAAACAATAACACGAGAACCGGTGTATTCATAAAAATGGGGGAAATAAAAAAAATTGAGTGCTGAGCTGTGTTTTCGGGAGTTAGATGTGAGAATTGGGAAATTTTTCTTCAAAATGGTACTTTTCCTTTACCGTTACGGTAGCTTTGGTCACTTTTTAGCTTTGTGATCTACTTTGTGATCGAGACTTGTAAACACCACCTTTCTGGCGCACAGATTTCTTCGTTCTTTCCTACAACAACGACTCGAGCACGCCAGAAATGATGTGTTTACAGGATTTGATCACAAAGTACAGAGTGAAAAAGTACTACCAGAGCTGGGCAGTTTTTGAAGATCAAAACGAATGTGTCCTAACAATTAGCAAATTGAAGACGGGAGGAGTTGAGGGATCAATGGAGGAGACAGGACGAATGATCAACGATGGAGATGGAGGGGGAGAAGCCCATTGAAATGCAGGAATTGAGGACATTGAAGAGGGAGTTGACGGGACAAGACACTCACGATCCTCGTCACCTTGATCGGAGAGGCCGGAAGAAAGCGCCGAGACGATTACCTGCCAACGGGAATTGATGACGGCGAAATTGCAAAATTGCAGTTTATTTAACCTATTGGTTCTAAAAGATGACCAATTAGGATTGGTTTGACTCCCCTATCAATGAAAAAAGAAAGTGATTCTTACTCGTTCCATTTCCTATCTCCGGTTCAATTGCTCCCACTTACTCACAAACTCACCCGTCTAGCCGATAGTCCGCCTTTCCGCCATCATCCAATCTCCCGAAGATTCTCTAAAAAAGATGAAATTAAGTAGATCTTGACTTTTTTCAAACTAAATCGGTACAACGATCTTAAGAATTTGCAAGCTCAGTCCAATTAGTTGGATTTTCGAGGGAAAATGGCACTCTAAAATAAAAAACGGGAAATTTTCGAAAAACCAAGTAAATCTACTGTTTGTGCTGAAGAAAAATAAAGCTTTGGATAATGATTTGGCAAGTTTTTCTTAAAGGAGAAAGAGATTGGCTCTTTGAGACTCATTTTTAGCCCTTAATTTGTCAGTTTTCTTCAACCGTGTGCCTTGGGGTGGTGCGCAGCTTCTCCTTTGGCAGTTGGTTCAATTGCATAACCCTTCCATGCCGCGGTCATTCTGCGGCTCAATAAAATACCCCAAAGTCGCTTCAATAACTCAAAATTTGTCCAGCCATTCCGTTCATTTGACAGTTTGGTCCAATTGCCTAATTTACCAAACGAGTTCAATCCCAATGGGTTCTTTTAACAAACTAAACTTTGGTTTAGTTACCCATTCGTTTAGTTTAACTTTGGTTTAGTTACCCATTCGTTTAGTTTAACTTTGGTTTAGTTATCTAATTGTAGTCAGTCTTCATGTAATCTTTCTGCGGTTTCACCAAATTCCCAGTATAGTTGAACTACAGTTACCAAATTCTGTTTGATATCGAGTATTCCTTAGCACTCACTCAGCGCCATCGGCTCAATGACCCAATCAGCTCAAAAACTGAAGTTGATTGGGTGATGTCCTTTCAGCTCATTATGTTAAAATCAAAGCCAGTTCAATTACCCAATCGTCCTTATTTTTTCAATACCAATCCTTTCCCAGAAAATCTTTTTAGATAAGTGATGTTAAGAACAAAAGCAATATGGCAAAATATAAATACGGTGAGGTTGTTAGAGGGTGTCGGCCCGAAAACTGGGGTAAAATTTGGGGGAAACATGCGGGTGAAAAGAGAAAATGGGGAGATCTACGTGGAACTTGTCTTGACCTGGAAAATACCTAAGAATTTTAAAATCGGGTAGCTAAACCGACTCGATTTAGTCACCCAACCCATGTACTTTGTGCTCAACCCATGTAAACGCACACCTTACTCACAAACTCACATTTCTAGCGGGTCTGCTTCATCCAACGAACCCCCTCCCCAACCGCTTTTCTCATCCGCTTTTTCTTCTCGACTTCCTTTCGGAATCACAACCGATTCCCCCTTCGAGTCGTTTGGAATTCCCAATGTGATCCTCTAAAAAAGATAAAATTAAGTAGATCTGGACTTTTCTAAAACTAAATCGGTACAACGATGTTAAGAATTTGCAAGCTCAGCCCAATTAGTTGGATTTGTCCACTTGCTGCACAACTCACCCCTATAGCGGACAGTCTGCTTCTCCTCCTCGATTCGATTGCCATCAATTCTCTCACATTGTCTCTCATTTCCCTTTCCCAATCGCTTTTCTCATCCGCTTTTTCTTCTCGACTTCCTTTCGGAATCACAAGCGATCCCCCATCCGTGTCGATTGGAATTCCCAATGTGATCCTCTAAAAAAGAAAAAATTAAGTAGATCTTGACCTTTTTAAAACTGTGTCGGCCCGAAAATTGGGGTAAAATTTGGGAAAAACATGAAAATGGAAAGAGAAAATGAGGAGATCTTCATGTAACTTGTCTTGACCTTGAAAATACCTTAAATATTTAAAATCGGGTAACTAAACCGACTCGATTTACTCACCAAACCCATATACTTTGGTGCTCGACCCATGTAAACGCACAACTTCTAGTGCACTGGTTTCATGGTTTTCCCCCTTAAAAACCGGTCGCTTCTTCAAGAAAAAATGAAGAATTCAGTGGGATGTGTTTAGAGATTTTGAGTATAAAGTATAAAGTACTAGTATAAAGTACACGTGATCAAGAAAGGTCCATAGTGAACCAAAAAAGCTAGAATTTACATTCAACTAAGGACGACAAACCAAAAAAAAGCTTGGGTGAGTGGAAATAATAAAGATGAGGTCGTGAACCGAGTGTGTTCATGCAGACGTGGCCCGACACTCACTGAAAGGCCTCGATTTAGAAGAGAAATTAGGAAGAAGATTGAAGGGAAGGGGAAGAAGATCGAAAGAATGGGAATCGAGATGACAATCATCGAGAAAATAAAAACACAGTTTTGCAATTCATCCAAAATTTTGGATGAATTTCGGATGAATTACCCAATCTCTTCATAAAACTCAGAGACAAATTTACAATGAACAAAGAAACAAAAAAACCATTAATTTTGGGGTAGACAATCACCTCTTCACCTCAATTCTGAGAGAAAAGAAAGCAGAGAAGTTGTAGAGAAGAAGTTAATTTACACGCTGAAACACCAAAAGAATTTTCTCTGATTTTGACATTTAAAACATCAGGGAAACCTAATTTAAAGCAATTTTAAAGATTTTTTTTAATTTTTCAACTATGGAGCTCACAGCATTCGAAAACGAGAAAATCTGGTCATTTTAATGATTTTCAAGACTTTGAGCTGTATTTTGGACCTAATTTTTGTAAACGCATCCTTTCTGGTGCTTTGAGTTCTTCGATTTCTCTCAAAATCAGGTAATTATAGGAAGAAAAACGACAAAATATCGGCAAAAGTTTCGGCAAAAGTACATAGTAAAGAACTTGTTTCTTGTACTTAAAACCTTTCTTTGTACTTAAAATCTTGGGTTCTGAAGGTTTTTACTAAAAAAACTGATCTGACTAGTCATCTTTTTAAGGAAAAAGTAGTCATGCAACAAAAAATATAATAACATTTTTCTCTCTCGACACAAACCTTTGAATAGGAAGTGCTCGAAAGCAAATTGCTTTCCTGAAAAGAAGGGAAATTGGAAAGATAAGAATTGGTAAAGATTGGTGATGAGAAGAAGAAGTGAAAAGGTTTTAAAATTCGGAAAATGAAAAGTGAAAAAGACATTGAACTTTGTACTTTTCATTATTTAGCCGTAATCAGATATTTGTTTTTGGCAAACTCTTTGAAGAACACTGACTCTGGTTGTTACTCAAAAGCAAGCTTCAATTACCGTAGCAGAGCCATGTCCATAGATCTTTCTGTTTCCTAGCACAAGCTTGTTAATATTGCAGTCATTAGTTTCACTGCAGTTTCAATTGGGTCACTGTAACAGGGACTACGGGTTACGGTAGTCGGGCCACGTTTTAAAGCTCTCCCCCTAGTCAGAGCTCGGCAAGTTTGCAGCGTACACGGGTACGTACTTGTTCTACAGAATAACATAAGTTTAGGGTAAAAAGTCTACTTTCTACTTATTCCAATTCCTATTCCTTTTTGTGCTGAAATCTCTAACCCACTTCTACAAAATTGCTTTGAAAACCCGATCAAACCACATCAAAATCGGTAGATCTAGATAAAAAACAACAATATGGATGACAAAATAGATTGTATTTCCCTTGGGTTGAACTGTTTTCTAAAAGGTGAGCTTGAGAAAAAGCTACGGTACTGCTAAACAAGTTACCGAACTCCCAAACAAGTTCTAACTGTTTTTGTAGCAGAAAACATTGCATCTACCTGACTGAAAGCTATTTGTCTGATCTGGCATCAGATTAAACTTAGACCTGTAATGTAATGACGGTAAGAGCACGGTAGCTTTCCCCTCAAAGAGCACCTTTTAGAAAACAGTTTACCCAAGGGGAATACAGTAATGATGAAAGATCAAAGAGATATTGGGGACTGTGAGTGAGTGGAGGGCCACGCACCTGGGTGGCCCCATTCGTTGGCTGAGTCGATGAAGGGGAATTTGATGGATGATCGACACCATTCAGCCCATTTTGGTGACCATGCCCATTGATGAGCGGAGAAGTCTTTTCAAGATCGTCTGAAGAGAAACGCCTTCCCCATGAAGCGGGCAAAAGGCGGATGAATGTCTGTTGGAGTTGAAGGTTAGGATCGTACAGGATCGGGTTCCAGATCTGTAATGGATAACGTCGTCTAGGAATTGTTCAATTACTAAAGTATACAATGATTCAGTAGAACCAGGCTTCTCACCATCTCGAGTACTCATGCAATTAAACCTTTGGCTCTTTTGGACTAGGCCAGCTCAACAAATTTACTTCCAAAACTATAGCCAAAACCAAAACAATAAATTAAGTTTCCATAACCGAGCTTTATATGCAAAATTTCAACAGTTATTGTTTCAAGTCTCAGATTTCTTTGGAAAGATATCGATTAATGTTGCCGAATGAGTGCTTGATTCCATTTGAATTGAATACCTTTGCAACCTTTGGATTGAATACCTTTGGATTGAGGTCAGGAGATCGAGCGGCCCTTGAATCCGGTCGCGAAATAGATGGAGGAGAAAGCCTGAAAATGCTGGAAATGCTTAGAAATGCTGAATAGTGTTCTTTGTGCGCGCGGACAACATAATTCTTGTTATCACACTTCTATAAAGGTTTTTTATACTTTTACAAAAAGCAAAACAAAAATCAAACAAAACTAAACCAACTAAAACTAACAAACTAGACGCTTATAACTTCTGGCAGATTGTTATTTAGCAAAAACGGAATACACATTCGGAATCAACATAAAATTCTGCGTCGAATGGTATTCCCCAAAACGATGACTAGTTGGACCAGTTTTTGAGTTAGAACCCTTCACAGCCGGGGGTCGAATCCGGGTCGTGTCCCAATTTGAGTTTTTGAGCTGATTGGGTAATTGAACCGATTGCGCTGAGTGAATGCTAAGGAATACTCGATATCAAACAGAATTTGGTAACTGTAGTTCAACTATACTGGGAATTTGATGAAACCGCGGAAAGATTGCATGAAGACTAACTACAATTAGATAACTAAACCAAAGTTAAATTAAACGAATGGGTGACTCAACCCATTGGGTAAATAGACCAAAGTTCAGCTCGTTAAAGGAACCGATTTGGATTGAACTCGTTTGGTAAACTAGGCAATTGGACCAAATTGTCAAATGAAATAAATAGCTGAACTAAGCTTTGAGTTATTGAAGTTACTTTGGGGCATTTTATTGAGCCGCAGAATGACAGCGGCAAGAAAAGGTTAGGCTTGGGCAATTGAAAGAGAAAGTCGAAAGAAACTCCCGAAAAAGAAAGTCGATGCGCCAGAAAGTGCGCGTTTAGGCACCACTCCACCGTACACGGTGGGAGAAAGCTGGACAGAATGAGGGCTAAAAAATAAGTCTCAAAGCCAATCTTTCTCCTTAGGAAAAAAAAGGAAAACTTGCTAAATCCTTATTCAAAGCCTTATTTTCCTTCAGCACAAACAATAGATGTACTTGATTTTTTGAAGATTTTCCGTTTTTTATTTCGGAGTGTTTAGTTTTATGTAACAGTATTATTGCACGGATTTTCAACCGAGCCCTAGGACCAGATGCAGATCCAGATCAGTTAGAATCCGGGTCAGCATCTTTTAAACCGGATCCTTTTAAACTTGTCAAAGTAAAATCAGGGCTAAACCTGATTTAACTTCAAGCTTGGGCTCGTGCGATTCGTCAACGTTGAGGCTTTGTCAAGGAAAATAGGAATGTGACTCTTACTCGTTGCATTTCCTAACCGGTTCACTTGCTCACAAACTCACCCGTCTAGCCGACAATCTGCTTTCCCTCCTCGATTCGATTGCCATCAATTCTTACTCATTGTCTCTCATTTCCCTTTCCCCTTTCTTCCCCCCCCCCCCTCTCCTCCCCCCCCCTTTCCCTCCCCCCCCCCCCCCCCCCCCCCGGGTTGGGGGGCAAATGTGTCCCCCAAAAAAAAAAAAAAAGTTTTGGTGTGGGTTTTTAAAAAAAAAAAGGGGGGGCCGATGTTAAGAATTTGCAAGCTCAGCCCAATTTGTGGGATTTTCCCGGGAAAATGGCACTCCGAAATAAAAAACGGAAAATCTTCAAAAAATCAAGTAAATCTATTGTTTGTGCTAAAGGAAAATAAAGCTTTGAATAAGGATTTGGGGCCAACTTTTGGCCCGACACGACCCGATTTCCCACGTCTAATGCACAAAGGAGTCGAATAACCTCAGTGATTGAAGTAATAATTGTGCTCTTCATTCTAGTCATTATTTCGAGAAGTGAATTAGCGTTGGGAGTTTGCTGACGTTCAAATTCAGCAGAGCGCCATAATCTATAGGTAATAACGAGACAAGTCTCTTCCTTACACGCCTAAAACGCTTTCATTTTTGTTCATTTTTCTAGAACGGAACAGGCTGCGGCCTTGTTGACGCTGGATATCTTCTAATAATGAAGTTGTGAGTTTACTTTTTTTTGAAAGTTTACTTACTTTTTGAGATTTTCTTTCAAAGATTTTTCTTTAGACCACATGTCAATAACACGTTGCATATTTTCGATGCCCCATCTTCTAGCTTCCTCGAATTTCTTTTTATATTTTCTTTCTTCAGCTTCAATCATAGCCCCTTC